TAGGACTGGCTCTCTTTTAAGCCTAGAGGGATGGCAAAACTGACCAATCCCCTCAGTACGGTTCCATACACCTTATTTGCATGGTCCCACCCCCACAAGGGTGTCGTGCACTTTATTTGCATCATTAGTAAGCTGTCCAAACCCATTGGTGGGCCACAAGCACCTTATTTGCATAGTCTCACCCAATCATTTGGTGGGACTTACAAGATCATGGCTAGAAAGGCCATATAAAAGCAATCCTTACACCACAGGTAGGTTTTATTTATTTTTAAGCTTGGCAAAGTCACCTGAAGAAAGACTGGCTTCAAGTTAACCAAACCAAGCAAACAAAGAAATAAAAAGCAAACTCAAATAAACAAAAAATAATTAGCAAAATAAGTTCTGTAGGTGTAAAACTCTTAGGTCATCTTGTAACTGTAACACATGGTATGAATATAATCAAACAATATACCATGCATTAATTGACTCAATATTTATTGAGTGTATTACTCTGGGGAGCTCTGGTGGAGGAGTCCCTCAGGCATTTGACTGCTAACCAGAAGGCTGGCGGTTCAAACTCACCAGCCACTCCTCGGATGGAAGGTTGGGCAATCTACTTCCATGGTGATACTGCCTCAGAAAGCCAAGGAGTGGTCGCTGTGAGTCAGATCCAACTCCATGGCAGTGCACTGCATTGTGTTTGTTCTATTACTCTGTGCCAGGCACAGGGTTGGGGCTATAGGAGAGCACGTTTAATACCAAAGTTTTCTGTGATCATCTACTCACTATCCTGCCAGCCTTGAGGTCTCCCCTCTATGCCCTGTGTAATCAGACCAGGAGCATGCCCAGGAAATCTCCAGCTTCAATGTCAAATACTGAAGCACATTTAATTCTTTGAAATCTTATTCCATGTTTGACTTCAATCACAATTCAGGGGAACAAAAAAATCAATCCCAAATACAAGTTAGTTATCTCAATTTTACAGCAATATTTGGTTCGCGGGCATAAGGGAGGGCACGTAGAGAAGGAGGAAGCCATGATAAATAATGATTTAGAATTACAATTATGATGTCAATGAAAAATGCTTACTATGTTATTTATTCCAGTTTCTGACAGGTCAAACATCACTGTAATTGGTTTCCCGTTTTCTCTTTTAGCATAACGTTCCAACCAAAATGCTATAAGCTTCTTTTTGTCCAATGCGGTTTTGTTGTCTTTTACATGATACTTCACTCTGATCCATACTTTAAGCAGAACAAAAGATAAAACAAAAGAGATAAGAATCAAAAGAAAAAAGTATATACATATATATTGTTGTTAGTGGCCGCTGAGTCTATTCTGACTCATGGTGACCTCACGTATGCAAAGCAGAACTGCTCCATAAGGCTTTCAGGGCTGTGACCTTTTGGTGTATACATACATACACACACGTATACACACACATATACATATATACATATATATATGTGTATGTATATGTGTGTGTGTGTGTATATATATATATATATATGTATATACACACACACACACACACACATATAATAGGAGCTCTGGTGGCATAGTGCCTAAGGCATTTGACTGCTAACCAGAAGGCTGGTGGTTCAA